CTTGCACCTGGCACGGGCACCGTAGCCAGCCCGTGCCCCTTTAAGGAGTCCGGGGCCGGGAGGGGGGCAATAGAGTTTCCCTGGTGTTGGCCAGAGTGGCCACCAGGGAAAGCTGGGGAGGGCTAGCCTCCCACTAGTTCGAATTAAGGGGCTACACAGCCCTTAATTCGAACTAGCTAGTTCGAACTAGGCTTAATCCTCGTGGAATGAGGTTTACCTAGTTCGAACTAAGCGCTCCGTTAATTCGAATTAAATTCAAACTAGCGGAGCGCTAGTGTAGCGCCTATGAAAGTTAGTTCGAACTAACTTTGTAGTGTAGACATACCCTAAGAGTTTCTGTTGTCTCATTACAGCCGTAATTATCTGCACCGCCGAGCGCCGGCTGGTTTGCATTTTCGCAGCGCTGGTCCCATGCACTGTGCGCCCCACCCCCGCCTGCTGCTCCTGCCCTGGCAGGCGCCCGCGGGCCCCCTCGCACGGCACTTGTCTCTGCCCCCGTCCTCCTTGCTACCTGCATTTGATCTCCACTCGTGTGATGCGAACTCCCTGCCCCCCTCCCCGTCACACCCCCACTTCAACCCCTCGACTCCCAGCGAGTGATGCATCTGCCCATCAACACGAGCCCCCGGAGCCGCGGGTTGGGAGCTTCTGGCTGGAGAGCCAGGGAGTGATGCTTGATTAATTCCACATAAAACAGCAATTAAGGCAGATTTAATTAGAACGAGGCAATCTCGGCTGCAAAGTTTAGAAGATTTATCAACCCTCTTGGTGCTCTCTGTCCCCGCACGTGCACACGCGCGCGCACACACACGTGCACATATTACACGCATCCACCCACTCACAAATGCAAATGAACACACCAGTACACACATACACATGAACACACATTTGCAAGAGCATGTACACACACAAGTGCACACAACTAGACGGGCATGTATCCACACTCTCCCAAATGCACAAACACACACACACACACAAGTGCACGTGTGTACACACAACTGTAGACACACTCAAACACACATGTACACACACGTGGAGAAACGCACCTGCACAAATGCACACATACACACAGAAATGCAGATTCACTCACAAGCATGCACGCACGCACACAAGTATAGACACACATATGCACAAGTGTATTGGTATGCACGTATGTCCCCCTACACTCACAAGTGCGTACATACACATGCACACACTCACTCACAAGGGCACATATGTACATTAGGGATGTAAAGTCCCATTGAATTAGTTAACCAGTTAAACATTGAGTTTAACCTGTTAACTGATTAAACGCCTCCCTCCCCCGGCCACCATGCCCAGCTGGAGCAGCCTCTGTGCCCTGAGCAGGGGCTGCTCCAGTTCGGCTGCTTCCAACCCTGCGCGGGGCTGGCCCGGGAGGCGGCAGCCCCACACCGGGTGGCAGGGAGATGGCAGCTCCCCCTGCTGCTGCTACTTCTGCCCCACATTCCGCGGGAGGCTGCTGATCCCCCGTGTGCGCAGGGCGGGTCCTGGGTAACAATTAACTGTTACCGATAAGCATCACCTGTTAGTGGTTAAGTAACCGGTAAAGCGGCTACCCGTTGACATCCCTAACGCACATACACGAGTATACACGTACACACACACTCCAGTGCACGTGGGCACACACATGCACACCCTTGAATGCACTCACACATGCACACGCGTGTGCATGCACTCACGTGCACATGCGTGTGCGTGCACTCACACGGGCATGCACTCTCGTGTGCACACGCGTGCACACACTCTTTGCATCATTTAACTCCTTGGCAGGGCCTGCTCCTGGCTGCTTAGACGGGGAAGAAGAGGGGAGCCAGCCCTGCCCGACACTCAGTCAGCTCTGCCCTGAACACCCGCAGGGCCATGGCTCTCTCCCCCTGGCTGGTGGCCGTGGCCCGGGCCCCCCGGGTGCCGGGGAGGGGCCAGCATGGCGGCGCGGGCGGGTTTCTCACCGGGTCATGGTGCGGATGATCCACGGGGCATGGCCCAGCGAGGGCACCGACTCGTCCATCAGGGGGTGCGTCTTCATGAAGTTGAGGATCTCGTCCGGGAAGGAGCTGGAGGAGTTGTAGCGCATGCCGGGGGCCGCGCAGCACCCGGGCCTGTGGGCAGAGGGGAGCAACAGCTGAGTGGCA